ACAAAATGTGAATATTTATAAATGCGATTAATACAGTTCCAAGAAGAAAATTCATAGTTTTTTTATGCCAATTTTAGAAAAGAAAAAAATATCAAGTAAATAACCAAAATTTCCACTTCTCAAAAAAAGCATATCAAGTTAAATTATTCTTGAGCAAGCTACCAGTGAAAATCAAAGAGAAATCTATGTCCAAGTTGAAAAACAATAGAGAAGTCAGTAAAACAAAAACTGACTTTTCGGAAAGGTCAACAAAATTGATGAACCTTTTGCTAGACTGACCAAGAACAAGAGAGATAAGGCCCAAATTATAAAAATCAGGCATGAAGGAGGTGTCATCACCTCTGCTATTACAGAAATTAATGTAAATAAAAGTATATACCATAAAATTAGACAATTGAAATGTACTGACTGGAACCTAGAAGGCACAAATTATCAAAACTGTCTTAAGAAGAAATAGAAGAAGAGATCTGAAGCCAGTAAAGAAATTGAATTAACATAATAACTGAACCACGATCAGAAAAACAGCAAAAATCCTAAGAGGGGTAAAAGAGAAATACAGCTCACACCTTGAGTGGCCTTCTGTATTTCTACTGACCCTTTTGTACTACTCCATTTGCACTATAAAAACCATGCCTCTTGGGAAACTGCTGGCCAAAGGAGATGAAAGAATACAAATCAGACCTATAAAGTCAATGCACAGCATTGAGTGACCTAATTCAATTGAAATTTTGACCTCTAAACTTTCATGGCTCTAAAGTTTGAGTTTTTCATTTCCTTAAAGTTTTTAGTTTTCTGTCCAGAGCCCACTTACTGAGTTCTCTATCCATAGCCAAATTGTTTAAGTTCAAAATTATTAACATAGTTTTAATAGCTCATTCAATATGTCCAATGGTTGTAGGCCTCTTTTTCTTTCTATTTTTATTTTTTTTTTTTTTTTGGTACCAGGGATAGAACTCGGGATCTTGGGCTTGCGAGGCAGGCACCGGAACCACTGAGCTAAATCCTTAGCTATTTCTTCTTTTAAAATTAATTTTATTGATACATTTTAAGTATACAATATAATGACATTCATCATTAGAAATATGTACCTTTACATAATCTATCGTGGTTCTTATTATTTCCCCATCCCTGCTATTTCTTATTGAGAGAGTTTTCTAAGGAATCTGTCCATTACACCTGAGCCTGGCAAAGGGCACCCCAAGTTGAACAATGAACCCATGACTGAAAAACAAAGTGCTTATTGTCTTCAGCTATGAGTTGTGGCTGATCTGTTGTGAAGTACTATTGTAGTAATAAATGAATAATTTACAAGACCAAACAGTGCAAAGGAAAATAAAATGGGAAGATTTGCCATCCTAGGTCTCAGCTGGACTATCTTGCCTGTCTGGTAAGAATTTATGTGGGACATAATTATCTTCATACTCTATCCTTTCTGAAAGATCAACACTCCCTTTTGGTATCCATTTACTCTCCTTACACTCATATTTTTTCCATGTTTCTAACTGCCCTGCCATCCTTTCTGCCACTTCCTATATGTACATTGGGCCACCTGTTCTTCTTCAAGAAGTGTATAAAGTTCTGCCCTCAGTGACAGTGAGCATTCACTCTTTTTGTATTGGAATTAGAAAGCCAGAGCTCCCCAAATTGTGTTAGCATAATATTCAAATCCATTCATAGACTAGGGCTCTGATTGCTTCCTCTTCCTTTAGGTAGTCAAAGTACCCATGAAACCATAAATGCAGGTTATGGGATAGAGGAAATCTATAGAAGCAATTGCAAATGAAGTGCCAAGAAGCCTGATTCACTAGCTTGCTTGTGCCTTCAGGATGTTAGTAATATTTGTGCCTTTTTATTTTACAAAGGAACACTGTTTATACAATCTAATTTTATAATTTGTAGGATCATACGGCACCAATTAGTGATGGAAAACTCATTTCTGGTTATCTTTTTCAACAGGGAAAGAAAATGCATTTGCTAGATATTTGGCTGCATATAACATGCCAAGGGCTGTCATTTTCAGGAGGGAAATACAGTTGGTTTATAGTGACCAGGCAGGGAGGAATTAGCCAGTCTTATTAATACCCTTGCCTCAGACTCTATTGTCTCCCTATGGTCTCTTGCTGTTGATTCTCATCAGTGGACCCCAGCAGAAAGACAGACTGCAAAAGAGATCCTTAATGTAGCTCATGATGAATCAGCTTTTTGGGCCACACAACAAAATATATAAGTAAGGGGAGGTGGAGAGTGTAAAGTAATAGATCTGGAGGAGAAACTGGAAGATATCTAGAAAGAAGTAGATTTCCTTCCTTAATTTTATGTAAAAAATCTAAATTTATAATAAACATCACATTAATATGAAGGCATTTAAAGAGATTAGAAGGTTCTCCTGTTTCATATGCTAGAATTATTGAGAACTTAAAGACAATGAAGATATATAATTCCATATTTTATAAACAAATTCATAAAGTTTAAAGATTATATCTTACATACATCAGTATAAAGGCTGCAGACACTATAAAGCATGAAATTTTCCAGAAATGTTTCAAACATTTTGTTTGAAAAATTATATTAAGAAATACATAATAATGGGTTTAATTTTTATTGCATATGTTGACTACTTAAATAAAATAAAGCAGATGAACAAATATTTGGATTCATAAGTAGATTTAACAGCATTGTTTAAAACAATACTGTTTAAAAAATTGTTAAAAAAAATTTTTTTTTTGTACTGGGGATTGAAAGTGAGACCTTGTGCTTGTGAGGCAGGCAGCTAAATCCCTGGCCTACATTGTTTAAAATTTAATTCCCCAAATAACTTATCCATGACAAGGATTTATTCCATCATTCAAAATGCACTTATTAGTTATGTATAATATGTACAAATGTATCTTAATTTAATTTAATTTTAGTAACTCCCTAAAAATCACTCATACAGATCCCAAAGTATAAATTCAAATCAGTCTTATAAAATAGGCTATATGATATTATATATAAATAGATCAGCAAAAGTTAAATAAAACCAGCCTTCTACATTAACTTTTTTGTTAATACTAACAAGAAAGGACAATTAGGAAAACTGTAGATGACTCCTTGTGGGTGTAAATTAAGTCTCCCTAAACTGACTAAACTTGTTGACTGCAGTTTGAGAAAACTTAGGGTATTATGACAAAAGTATATGAATGAGTTCACTATGACACATAAGTTAGTAGCTATTGTCCCAGAGTAATAGTTAATAGCATCTCTTTTTCTCTCAAGGATTTCTTGGTTTAAATGACAGGTTATATGGGCACCTTATTAAAAATTACTCACAATATATGTGAATCCTAAATTTAATTTTTTACATTAGGAAGGGGCATACTTCCAAACTCAGGTTGAATCAGGTAATCATGTTTTGATAGGCACAGTGTTTGGAGAACAAAAGAAAAATCAAGTACCTTTAGATTGTTTATTTTACAATAGGTTCCTTTCTCTTCAGTCTAAAAGATAGGAGTTTCTTCTTAAATATTTATTAATGGTGTGACTCTTTGAAAAGAATTCTATGATTGCTAGAAGTTCCTTTCAAACTAAATATACTATTGAATTCTCAAAAACGGAGTTTCATATGGTTTACAATATGTCACTTACATTTTTCAATTTTTCACATTTAAAGATATGACTAAACATCATTTGTGAGTCACTTTGAATTTCTCAATTTCTAGTAACTCCAATACTAGAATCATACAACAAATACATGCCAAATGTTTGCATGAACATGGGATACAATAAATGTATAGTATTTCCAAAACACCCAAACGTCTGCAGGTCCGGATTTGCTCTTCACAGTCCCTGTCCTCTGTGAACTCATCATTATCATTAATAGCAGCTTTGAAATAGGCCCTAGTTTGTAAGTGAAATACTGAAACTCTAAATGGGTGATTTTGTTTACAGAGCTGCAATTGATTATCTGTGCTTTTTCAACAAAGAAAATAACAAAGTGGAAAGTCCTTTTTAGTACCTTTCTGCACAGCTAGTGGGAGTTCTTGAAGTTTCCAGATTGACCAAGAGTCAATCTTCATGATAATCATTTTCTTTCTCGATTTTTGTTGTCTTAACATTTGTTCAGCTTCTGCTCGATCAGTTTCTAGACTTTTAATAAGATGGATGGCCTTTGACAGTAATGTTTCCATTTCTTTCTTTAATTCTGGATACTTTTCATCTTAAAATAGGAATATTTTTCATGTTTGTTACTGAATCACTCTATAAGCCAAGTGATAGAACTATGAGTCTTAGTTGTTATTATATTATTATTTTAAATATTTATATACTTAATACAGAGTTTTAGAAAACTGAATTAGCCTTTTCAGGTCTATTACAATGCAATGTATTTCAAATACATTGACTTGACAACTTTCAAAGACAGATATTTTAATAAACAATTTATAAAAAGTGTCAACTAAATCCCAACCGATGTCTTCAAGAAAAGTATAATTTATTGGAAGGAAAAAAAACACATGTCCTATTCTTAATCTTATTATAGAGCTTTATTTTAAAATTAGGCCTATGTTTTATCCCATTCTATAAGAAAACAAAACATAATAATTATATCAGATAAATATTGAAAATTCCCAGGTAGTTTCTAGAAAACTGACACTTGATATTCAATTTTATCAGATAATAACTTTTTTACTTAGCCTTTCCAGGAATTCATCATGATTTGCACATTCTATTTACTTAGTTTTAATTCAAATTAATACTTTTAATGAGAGGTACTTATGATTCCTGGTTCACAGCTCTGGAATGATATGACTTAATGTTAACATAGGTATTACCATGAGTTTCATTCATCTACATTATTTATGAAAGAAGTGTGTGCACAGTCTATAATATGCTGATAATACACTCTCCCTTGGAGATAAGGTAAAGAAGAGAGATGAAAGCCCCATCTTTGTGGTATTTCTGCCTATGAACAATGACTTTTTTTCAAAATGCGACATGACAAGAATATATAAACACAAAACGTCAAGAAAGACAAGGTCACCAAAAAGCAGAGGGTGGGGATAAAATAGTAAAATTGCATTAAGAAAAAGACAATGAGTAAATATTTTTTGGCTTGCCACTGGAAAATAAAGATAATGATTTTCTGTTGGATGATGGTATTATATAATGGTTAAATTGTGGTTAGAAGTGCAAACTCAGCAGTAACACAGGCTATATTTTAATTTTATTTTTCCAGTACCAGGAATTGAACGAACCTAGGACTTTGCACTGACATACATCCCCAGTAATTTTTATTTTTATCTTAAGACAGGGTCTCACTTAGTTGCCAAGTTGCCAAAGCTGGCCTTGAACATGCAATCCTCCTGCATCAGACTCCTACAATGCTGGGATTACAGGTATGCACCTGTAGCCCAGCCATACAGTCTATTTCTAACCTCATGGGCTTGTCAAAGAAATTTAGCATGCCTCCTGATAGGAATTCATGAGAAACAGATTTCTCTACTTTAATGCATAAAAGTGATTTTCTCATCTGATCTTTATTTGGTATTTTTGAATCTATTACTTTGTTTTACCAAGTTCTACAACACCCTGAGCACTTTATATTGATAATTGCATTTTTGTATTCTTCAGATAATTTATGATTCACTCTGTGATAAATTTTATGACTTCAGTCTGAGTCACACAAAGAAATTAACACAATCAAAACACTGTGGATTAGATTTATAGGCGTTTTAGAGAATTGTTCATTGTTTGTATAAACTGTCTTTTATTCTGTCCCTGTAACAGTATTCTCAAATAAATGATACAAGTGTATATGACCTGGGGCAGCTCTAATTCATTGTATTAAACATCTCTTTAATATTCTCTATAAATCATCACAGTTACTATTTCATATTGACTAAGTAAGCAACTGCCTTCAATTTTTAATATAAACATTTAATTATAATAAATCTCCCTCATTCTGTTATTGCTGTGTATTTTAGATCCAAATATACAGATTTATAGTAAATATATTATATATAGGTAACAAACAATTTAATTGTGATTGTAAATATTAATATGTTAATCTTTTCTCTTAAAATCTGTCATGTGGAAATGTGCTAAGTAAATATTGACATTGTTATTTTCTTTGTACACACAAAAAATGTAAAGAAAAACATCAAAAATAAAGCTTCCCTATGAATGAAAACTTTTAACAACAAAACATTTTTGCTTTTAAAAAAGTCCAAAGTTATTTAGTATCCTCTACCAAAAGTAAAAGGAATTAGTATATTTTTGTAGTAGGCATCGATGAATTTAATATTATCTCAAAAATATTTTCAAGTACATTGAAGTAATTTTAACACAAATTTTATGCCTGTGAATAAAGTATTCCTCATTTTCTAAATTGTGATGAATACTAAACACAACTTAAATATCCACAAGTGTTTCAAAGTCCCTAAACCAGGTGTCAATATGTACATTTAAATATAAGTTAATTAAGAATGAATTTGCTCAGTTTCATCATATTCCACATGCTCAACATCTCTATGTGTAGCTAGTGGCTGCTCTATCAAAGAGTACTGACATAGAACACTTTGATTATCACAGAGAGTTCGACTGAACAACTCTGTATTATAGTTAGCTTCTTAAGATGTGGGCCAGTGTCATTATATTCTCAGGACTTAGACCAGTATCGTGTACATAATAGTCATTAATAAATATGTTTTGAATGAATTTCTTGTCAAATGATATGGAGGGCTGTATTCTTTATTCAACACTCAGAGAATTGTGAACCACAAGAAAATGATTATTGTGAAAATTCGAAATGTATTAAGTGATAAGCCAATGAGTTCTAAATATAATTATTTTTATCTAAATATAAAGAGCAAATTTACTTCTCTCTTCTTCTAGCTTGACTTCTTTCACTGGTATAGCAATACTCCAATCTTCTTTTAGGTCCACTGAGGAAGAAGTTTTACTCCTACAGAAGGAGGGAATTAGTAAAGGAGGGATATATTTAATAAACAGTAAATCAAATTTTAGATGATGATTTTACATGAAATATTAAATGTTTCTGTTAAGTTTACTACACAGTAATTCTAGTATATTGGGGACTAATATAGGAAAATTTTAACATGTAGTCAGATTTACACTTAATAAAAAATTAATAGAAATTTAAAATTTGTTTTGAATCCTTGAAATCTTGAGAGGATATTAAAGCTATTTTCTAATAAGAAATTAGTTTATCCTGGAGAAAAGGGGTGTTTGAGAATAAGTTGGATGAGTTACAGTATTTCTCTAATTTGAGTTTAGTGATTTCTGGGAAATAAATACAAACTAGAAGGAGTAATAATATCATTCTAGATTTAAAGTTAATAAGCTCTTAGAAGAATGCCCCAATTAAATGTCATTTTCTATCTAAAATATCTTTTTAAAAAGATTCATTATGTTTAATAATGAAATATTCCTCATTATCATTAGTACGCTTGTCCAATTCTAGAAAATTAAAGTAATTTTCATTTACTTTTAGAAGGTATTTTTTCATTTATAAACATTTTAAGAAAATCAATATCAACTACAAAGCATTCTGCTTTAGTTACATGATATTGTTTCCAGTATATTTAAAAGCTATTCAATATTTCTAATGGTTCTATATTATTATTCTCATTGATTCACAATTTATTTGGCAAATCCTTTATTTTTTGAGATCAGGAAAATATTTATCATATTTTCTTCCTTTAATTTTAATTGGGAAATATTTTTTTGTAAGATGTAATTTTTTTCTGGTCTGTTTGCATTAAGAAATTTTAAAAAATTGGGCAGGGGATTTATTTAGCTCGGTGGTGTCGCCTTTTGCCTGGCAAGCACAAGGTCCTGAGTTTGATGCCTGGTACAAAAAAAAAAAAAGAAATTAAAAAAATACCCCACAAGCGTAAGGACCCAAGTTTGATCCCTGGTACCAAAAAAAAAAAGAAATTAAAAAAATTTATTCCAGATTTTATTAGTAAATAACACTCCACTGCCTTATAATGATATGGTAAATTATTGTACATAATTAGATCTATTGAGGTGTATTGTCTTCGAAAGTTTAGTTCTAATTCTCTAAACTTTTACTGCTTTTCATTGAGATAAGTCACATCACATAAAATTAATCATTTCATTAAGCACTCACTTCCCTTCCCCTCCTAATAGTCATGAGCCGGACCAATTTGCTTTCTGTCTCTATGGAAATATCTATTATTGATATTTCACATAAACAGAATTATATAAAGATGACTTTTTACATCTGGCTTCTTAAAGTTGGCACAATAGTTTTGAGGCTTATCCATATTATATTATTATCATAGATTTATTTATTTTTCATGGTAGAATATTTCATTGTATGCTTAAGACACATTTTGTTCATCTATTAATCTACTGATGGATTTGGGAATATCTCTTTTTAGCCCTTGTTAATACTTAGTTATGTTATGAACATTTGTATATGTTTTACTTTGAACACTTGTTTCAAATACTTTTTTGGACATATGGTAACACCTCAGTGAAACTGATGCTTCATATGATAATTTCAGATTTCACTTCTTGAGGAACTAAAAATCCTGTTTTTTAGTGCATAAGCATTTTAAATCTATACCAGCAAGGTGAAAGTTCCTCAAATGATGAATAAAAGTGATGAGACCAGGCATCCTTGCTCCTAATCTAAGGTTGTCATCTTTAGTCTTCATGGTAAAGCATAATGTGAGCTTTTTCATGTCCTTGATTGTGTTTAAGAACTTCCCTTATAATCTTAGTTTTTTTGAGTGTTTCCATTACGAAAAGTGTTATCTTGTGCCACGTTTGTTTCCCATTGAGATGTTCAAGTGGGTTTTATCTTTTATTTTATAATATTGGTATTACACTGATTGATATTTGTATATTAAATTGCTTTTTTTTTCCAGTACCTGGGATCGAACTCAGGACCTTGCACTTGCGAGGCAGGCATGCCACCACTGAGCTAAATCCCTGGCCCTTAAATCACTTTTGTATTCTTGGAATAAATCTGACTTGGTTATGATGTATAATCCTGGTAATAGAATTACTGGATTCAATACTATGTTACTCAGATTTTTTGAGGATTTTGGCACCTACATTCTAAGAGTCACTTCTCTGTAAATTTCTTATATAGTTTTTATCTTATTTTGACATCATGGTTAATACTGGTCTCAGAGAATGAATAAGCAAATATTCTCTTCTAGTTTTGGAAGATTTTGAGAGGAAGTGATACAATTCCTTTTTCCAATGTTTAGTAGAATTAACCAGTGAAGTCATCTGAAACTGGAGTATTCTTTGTTGGGATTATTATTTCCATCTTTTTACTTTTTAAAGGTCAGTTTAGATGGTCTTCCTGAGGCAATTGTGGTAAGTGATGTGTTTCTAGGAATTAGTACCTTTTGTGTTGGCTATTAAATTTGTTGGCATACAATTGTTCACAGTATCCTTTTATTTCCATAAGATTTGTTGCAATGTACTGATTAAATTTTATTAATTTGAGACATCTCTTCTTTTGTTAGTTTAAATAAATGTTTGTGAATTGGGTTTATGTCTTCAAAGAAACAACTTTTGTTTTACTTAATTTTATTGTTTAATTTGTCATTACTTTAATATTTTTTATTTCCTTCCTTTTGCTAACTTTAGGTTTAGCTTACTCCTCCTTTTCTAGTTTCTTGAAGTATAAAATTAGGTTAATGGCTTGGCAATCTTTTTAATGTAAACATTTAGAGCTCTAAATTTCTCTCTGAGAACTATCTTAATTCCATAGTATAAGTTTTGGTACATTCATCTCAATATATTTTTAGTTTTCTCCATGATTACTGCTTCAGTCCATTGTGTTTTGTTTTGTTTAATTTCTACATATAAACAAATTACATAGGTTTACTTCTGTTACTGATCTCCATTTCATTTTATTCAGCAAAAAATCTTTATATGAGTTTGATCTTTTTTATTTTATTAGACTTTGTTTTGAGGATTCATATATACTGAAAAATGTCTCATGTACTTATGAAGAGAATATGATTTTGCTGCTCTTGAGTGAGCAAAATATGTAAGTTGGTTAGATCTAGTTGGTTCTCAGGTAGTTCAAATATATTGCCTTACTGAACTTCTTTTTAGTTGTTTTTTTTTAGTTGTTATATTTTTTTTTGAGAGAGGAATAATTGAATTCTCAAATCTTTCATCTAGAAATGCCTATTTCTCCCTTCAATTTTATGACACTTTTATCATTATATCAAATCAACATTTTAATATAACAAATATATTAATCAGTATAGCTTTGTCTCCTGCAATAGGTTTTTATTTAAATTCATTTGTATGTGATATTAGCATAGTCACACAGCTCTTTCTTTAAGTTATTATTTGCATGAATTTGTTTTTCTTTCTATCTTTTTACTTTTAACATACTTCTATCTTTGGATTTCAGATGAGTCTCTTATAGACAGCCCAGACTGAAGACATTTTTTTACACATGTTCTCACTTTAATTAGAGCTTAATCCATCTTTGTGTAACATAACTACTCATAAGGGAGGATTTGTTTCTGGCATTTTTCTGTTTTTCTATATAATATCTGCATATTTTCTATTCCTCCATTTCTGTATAACTGTCATCTTTTGTGGTTAGTCGTTTTTTCTAGTATGTTACTTTTCTATTTACTTTTAAAGAACTTTTACTTTTAAAGATTTTTAAATAATCTTAATGGTTACCTGGGCTGCCAATTAATATTTTAACTTCATAAAACTTAAGTCTGAATTAAAATCAACATAGTTTCAATAGTATTAAAAAACTGCTCATTTATATCTCTGCTTTTCCATTTATTTAGTCAGTCTTACAAATCACACATTTATATATTGTGTGCCTTTGACACAGATCTATAATTATGTGTTATATAAAGAAATGAAGTTACAATTATACAAAAATGCAATTACAGTGATTTTAATATTTAACTTTTAGTTATCATTATTTTTCTTTATTTCTTCACAGTTTTCAATTACTATTTAGTGTTCTTTTATTTCAGCATGAAAGAATTACTTAGAGTATTTCTTTAGGAGAGATCTATTGAGGATATGCTCCCTCACACACATACACCATCAGTTTTTATTTATCTGAAACTGTATGAATTTCTCATTTATCCTTGAAGGATACTTTTACAGGATTTCAGGATTATTGAATGAGAGTGGCTTTCCCCCCTACTCCAGCATTTAAACATGTCATTCCTTTGTCTTCTATCTTTCATAACCTGTGTTGAGAAATTGACTATTAATCTGATTGAGGATATCTTGGTCTTGACTATTCACTTATGTCTTGGACTTTCAAGATTCTCTTTTTATTCCAAGCTTTGAATAAATGGACTAACATGTGTGTTGCTTTGAATCTCTTTGACTTTAATCCAATTTGAAATTAACTGACTTTAGCAAATGTGTAGATTTGGTTTTTTCATCAAATTTTGGAGATTTTAAGTAAAATTTCCTTCAAATATTCTTTATGCCCACTTTCTCTTTCCTTATAGCATTAGAAATAGTACAGATACATTTCTATGCTTTATGTGTCCCTCGGGCTTCTTGAGTACTTTTCATTTTCTTGGTTCTCTTGTTAGTCTACTTCAGAGATGGGATAACTTCTGCTGACCTATCAAGTTTACTGTTTCTTTCTTCTGCCTGCTCAAATCTGTTGCTGAACCCCTCTAGTGAAATTTATAACTTCAGTTATGTTACTTTTGGTCTACTGATTTTCTATTTATTTATTTATGATTTACTTCTTCATCTTATGTGGCAGATTGCCCTATTGATAATGCCCAAAGCAGGCTGAAAGCAATGCAGGCTGTAAAGAGTTAATCCCACAATTGGCTTGTTTTAAGAAGTGGGTCTAACCAAAGCCTAGATAACTCAGGAGAGCAATGTGGATGGTGGGCGGTTTAGCACAAGCTCTCTGCCAATGGCCACAACAGAGGCCAAAGAAATGGTCCATGAAGTGGAGGTTTTAATATGAGATACAATGTCAGCTGAGGTCAAGGTAACTCACACCCAAATTTTGTTCCCAGAATTGAAACCTTCTTAACTAAAAAGACAAGGTTAATTGTTAACCAAAACCTATATCTTGTCTGTTCTATTCCTATTACATGAATACTTCATCTCTTCTTTTATAAGCTTTGCCTGTATCAGCAATTTATTCCTAGCAACCACACTTAATCCCCTCACCCCTACTTAACAATGATCACGTCACCAATAAATATCAGTGATTCTCTCTATTTAGGGTCTTTTCTGCTTGCTCAGCCCTGATCATCCCGGTTTCCTGTCTCTTTCTCTTTAACACCATTTTCTAGTCTTTCTTCTCATCTTGCAGCAGAGCACTGAGCACGAGATCGGGATCCACTGCAAGTGTCTCCAATAATCTTCTATATATCATTCCCTTGATATAACATATTTCATTATCCGTGGTTTCCTTTCTCTTATTGGGAGAGAGTTTATTTAAAGTCTTTATCCAGTAAAGGCCCATTCTGGGCTTCCCGGGGAATAGTTTATATGAACCTTTTTTTCTTGCTGTGAAAGAGTCAAACTTTCTCTTTTCTTCTTTGCCTACCTCATAATTTGTTGTAGAAAACTGAACATTTTGAATATTTTAGTATGGAATGGATATCATGTTACCCTCCCTCTGTTAGATTCACTATTCCTGTTTGTTCTGAAATTATTTTTGTTTTGTTCAGTGACTTTTCTAAACATTTTATGAAATGTCTATGTTTTTTGTCTTATATAACCACTGAACTCTTTATTTAGCTAGCTGGTAAGCCAATGCTTTCACTGTTATACCTTAATTGCCTCAGAACCAAAAGAAAGGAAAAAGAAATACAAACTTTCTCAACTGTAGGTGATTGACTCTGTGTTATGGTACTCCTTCAGATGCTTATCCAGGCTATTTGGGATCCTCCCTCTCCATTCAATGCTTACTCCTGCAGATCCCCTAAACATCAGCCAGAGGTAAGAACTATGATACTCTTAGATATTTTTCTGGCATATTTTCAGCCCTCATTGTATCTGTATATTTCTGGATTCTATAGTATATTGAAAACTTTGAATAACCCTACTCTCTCATCAACCTTTTTCTAACCTTTCCGTCACATGCATTTTGATCTTTGCAATTCTTGCTCCAATTATTATCCATTTAATCAGGCTGCTGTAGCAGGTGTATATCTTTAAAAGTTTTCAGAAAGCACAGCCTAGAAGTTGCCCCAGCCTGTGATTACTCTGACCCAGGTAAAACAAAGGCAAGGCTTTGGGCTGGTTTTTCATAGGACAAACAGGAAAGTCAAAACACTCAAACATAATTCTCTGGAAATAAAGAATTATTCCAAAGAAGGTGAACTGGTCCGAGCACCCGGAAGGAAGCTCCCCCCCTCCATCTCAGGCTCCTAGGGCAGAGGAGGTGAGCCGGTCCCAGCATCTGGAAGGAAGCTCCCTGTCCATCCCAGGCTCCTAGAGAGCAGTGAAGCTGAGCTGGTCCCAGAACCCAGAAGGAAGCTCCCCCGCCGCCATCCCAAGCTCTGAGGGCAGAGAAGGTGAGCTGCATGGGTGCCAGAAGCACCCCTCCCACCATGGAAATGAGAAGACACATTAAAAAAGCCTCAAAAACAGACTTCCAGATCACCTCCAGCAACCACAAAGGGAAACGAGATGGAACAATCTGATACTCAACCACCTGGACTCTCTGAACTGACAACAAAAGAGGATCTGGGAAAAATGAAATCAGAAATAATTACTCAGATAACAGCAAAGATTTTGCTCATGGTGCAAGACATGATTAATAAATCTAGAGA